AATTTTTAAGACAAAATACACTAATAATGTAAATAATTTAATTTAAATTAAAATAATCATGGCCCAAAAGATGAATATGATTTATAGTTGTTTACTAGTTTCATTTATATAAACTGAAATGTACTTTTGGCAATGAATATAGTAAATTTAAAATGCAGTTATATAGACTATATTTTAATCAATAAAAATTCTGTTTACATTACAGAAAGATTAGAGTAAATTAGATTTTAATAAGAAATCAAAAATATAAAATCAAATAGTCTTGAATTTTTTAAATTTAAAATTATAAGATTTTCAAGACTGATTACAGTAATTGATTATACAGTATTTAGCAATCAATATTATTGAATGATTGATGTCATAGCTTTACATAAAGTTAACAAAATAATTAAAATGCCAAGAAAAGCAATAAATTCAAAATGAAACTTTTTTTAAAAAAAAAAAACTTGATTTCTATTTAATAATCTTACTTAGTAGATATGACAATACCAGTTATCAAGATGAGGGGGATGAACTTCAGATTAATAAATACTCAATGAGAAACTAATTTAATAATTATTGAATATTTTAAAATAAAATATTGTAAGAATATTGACAGAGAAGATATAAATAAAAAAATACACAAAAAAGAATTTTTTTAAGTGCTTAATATTCAAAAATTTTTGAATTTATCTGATTGGCATTATACTCTGTTGCAGCATTTAGTGAAAAGATTTCACAAAAGGAAATATGCATTTTAAAAATAAAATGATCTTTGCAATTGTTCTTAGAAAGACTTCATGAATGACAAAAGTTTACAGATTTGAAAATGACATGCAACAATGAAAGAAAGTTTTCACAATTTAGTCCAAACTTTTCACAAAATACACAAAATTATACAGAATAAAGGCAACAGATTTCACATATTAAGAAAACTTTTCAATAAATTTAAGACAAACTACAATATTATTATGGTTTAAATAATATTACTTCTGATTTGGACTATATGCTAATGATCATGTATAATATAACATACTCTTTAATTTTTTAATCTCAGATTAAGAGTGTAATAGACTACTAATTTTCTTCAGCCTGTTTTATGTTATGTTGGCTTTCTTCAGATATCTGCAAATTAAACTTAAACTTTTCTTTATATTATAATCAAATCTCATCTTGATGCCATCAGAAGTTAAGGAATTACCCACTTCTATGATTTCATGCAGTACAGAAGACATCTTCTCTCTGTTTATCCTTTTCTTACCATGCCTTTTTAAAAAATTTTCTTACTAGATGTTATCAAAACTTGTTTCACTCCTTTCAAATTTGCATGTATATTTATATAGAGTGCTCTTGCTTACTCCTATTAAAGAAGAGATATCTTCAGAAGAGTCTTTATTTTGATACATCATGAGAAGAATTTTAATTTCATTACAAATTATTACTGTATGTGACAGTTTCTGCAGAATCTTGTGATGATGAATTTATCTGTCTACCCATATATGTAAAACACTAGCATTTTCAAGCCTATCTTAGACCATTCAATCTTTATTTTTTATTTGTAGTGTCAAGTGCAATATGATAATTATACAAAATAAGAAAAACAATAAAACAAACAAAACAACTGAACTAAATTTTAAAATATTATTATTGAAATCATGCTAATAGTTTGTCTTAAATTTACTAAAAGTCTTCTTTAATTTATGAAATCTGTCAAACCCTACTCTTCATAATATCACAGGTTTTGTGAAAAGTTCTGACTAAATTGCAAAAACTTTTCTTTCATTTCATTACTGCATGTCATTTGTGAATTCCTGTCTAATCATCAATCAAGAAATTTTTGTGAGAATAATTGCAAAGATCTTATTTTTCAAATGCAATAATTTTCTTTTGTGAAATCATTTTTGCTAAATTTTGCAAAATGTAAATAAGAAAAGTTTATCTTTACCCTTATACTACTTCTAATTCTACTATTATGGTTTGTTGAATGCTTGAATTGGTAAGTTTTAAATTAGCTCTTAATTTAATTTATAAGAAAAGATCTATTTGATAATATTACATCAAATTAAAAAAGTGAAATCATTCAAAGAAAACAAATTTCCTTTTCCAACTTATTATTTTATTTCACTTTTATATTTTTTACGATTTTATTTACAGAATTGTTTTTGCAGATAAAATCACGAGATAATGACTTTAAAATCAAAATAAATTTTAATCTAGGCCTACTTATTACTTGAATAACATTTTATTTTCATAATTTTTAGAACTAAAATTTTCAATTAACAAAATAACTGAGCATTATTGAATGTTCTATTAATTTAGTGTCCTAACATTTTCATAAATCATCATTAAGCAATCATATTTGCTTATTAAAAGGATTTGTTTATAATAAAAAATATATAAAATAGTACTATCATCATTAGATTATTTCAAAAACTTAACTTACAATACTGATATTAAACTGACCTTTTTTGCCCGTTTCCAGCACTTTTGATATAAACAAAAAGCAATGTTTTCAGCCTCTTTCAGGGCCTGCATCAGGCTTTTAACTGAAGAGTTTTTAGCCAAACTTTTCTATTTGGAACATTTTTGAAAGATGTTCTGAAACAAGTGCCATTTAAATTAACTAACCACCTAAAAGTGCTTGTATGCAATCCTATACATGGAAATATGTTTTAGGAACATATATATGAAAGCAGGTATATGTTCAGCAGTATTTTAAATTTATTTTGTATGAGCCATAATTTATACTTTTCTGTGATAATTTATTGTAAGGTGTTAAATTTGTTAAGGTGTTTGGACATTAATAATGTAATTGAAAAAATGAACAGTTAATTTAAATTAATTTAAATGAAACTTGCTCCAGAATGTCTTTCAAAATTGTTCCAAATTTGAAAGCTCCACTAAAAGCTCTTCAATAAACAGCCTGACAGTTGTCACCAAAAGATGCCAAAAACATTTGCTTCTCGTTTATATCAGAAGTGCAGGAAATGTGCAAAAACGTCAGTTTAATATCAATTTTTAAAAAAGTTTAAGCTTTAAAGAATAATTTTTTATACTCAGAAATATAAATTGTTATTTCAATAAATAAATTTGATAAATATGTTTTAAAGATTGATGTAGTCTTTAATATAAAAAAAGTTAAACATTAATATAATTCAAATAATTGTGAATGTTTAATATATTTTTATAAAAATAAATAAGCATTTTTAACATTATAGGTTTGTAAATTTATATTCTAATCATTTTTATTCACAATGATTTAAAATGCATTTGTGTTTCTTTTATGATATCACATCATGACTGAAGTCATAAATTAATACATTAATATACAATTAAACTGTAGTAAAAAAAGTCCATTTATTTATTAAAAACTTTTTGATGCAGAATTATAAAATTATTTTAAATATATAAGCTTACCTTAATCAAATCATGTATCCATTAAAATATTGAAATAAACCTACATTAGTAAATGAATAATTTTATTACCTAATTACTTTCAAAATATTAATTAGAAATATAATAAATTTATGAAATAAGAGATTTAATATTAACGTTATCAAATATAACTTTATATTATCACAATAATTTTAAATAAATTAAAAAAATAGGCCTAGATTAAAATGTATTTGAATTTCAAAGAAAAACATTGATTAAATTATGGTTTTAATTAAAGATTAAAAATAATTGTTCTATACAATTAACCCAAGCAGAATTAAACTGTTTAGCAATAAGGGTCAAGATTGCATAATGCATAATCATTCAGTAAATTCTTTTTAATATGATCCAAAATCCAATAATCATATTTCAAAAAGCAATTTTTGATAAATCTAATTTAAACTTCAAAAACTGTACTAAATTGTTTGCTATCAAATATATAAAACTGTAATATAATATAAGCAAAACATAAATTTTAATACAAGCATCATAAACTGGGTTATTTTTTGGATTATGTTTAGTTTAATTATTCACTAGTCCAAAACTTAGTCCAAAAGATAATATTGTATTATTTAAATAATTATAAATTAAGTTTAATTAATTAATTTTAGTCCAAATAACATGGTTTATTAATTTAGAGTTATAAGTTATATGAAACTGAAAATACAAATAGAAAAAATATTACAAACACAAAAATACTTAGAGCTCCAAAATGAAGACAGATGAAAAGCATAATACCTTACTATAGATGTAAGTGAAATTGTTAAAGCTATTCCAAAGTAGTACAATGATAAGCAAATTGCAAATGTAACAAACATAAGGCTGGTTCATACTTTGTGAGATGGAAAGAGAAGAGAAAACAACACTAAGCTGGTTTAGTGCAAAATGCACATTACTAGTGACTTTTGTTCTCTTTTGGTTAGAAAAAAAGTTAATAGTTCTACTCTAAACTCTGTTGGTAGCCCACAATCCTTTGCATTTTTTCAATATGGATATTGATAAAATTAAAATGATTAGAGCTAACTAGAAAATTACATTCAATGAAACATATTTTATGTTAATCAAATCTGAATAGATATTATCTTGACATCTGTGCACATATTTAAAACTTGCCTAGAATATTGAAAATTTACTTCAAGATCATCTTCCTTAATTTCATTTATAAGATTATGATATTCTATGCTCTCTTTTTTTTTCAAATTAATTAACCCATAAACTCTTCTTTTTAAAGGCTTTTACAAATTGGGTAAGCTTTCAAAGCTTCACTTTAAACTGCAGGTACTGAAAACACATGAATGTTTCTCTTCTGTTCTTTTGAAGTATGAACATTTAAGGAAAGAGAATAATAGAAAAAAGACATTCTCTTTGCTTTTCCATTCTCATAAAGTATAAACTGGCCTAAAATCAATTAATTTTCTAGATTTTGTTTGTGCAACTTTATAAAATTTGAATAAACAATTTATTTAAAGATTAGACAATTACACATTTGATTGATGCACATATGCTTACTAAAAATCCTCAATGTAATAATTTAAGTTGGCTAGTGTAACTGAATTTAGTTATCTAGATAATTACCATTTACAACAATATCTTCCTGATAAAATCCTTCAATTTACAATATTTAATTAGTAAATGCAAATCTAATTACAATTGTAAATAAGAATAATAGTAAAAAAATAAGTTGAATAAAAAATAGGAAAAAGATTAATTCACTAAAATATTAAAAATTATTTCAATTTGTTAGTTAAAAAAAAAAAAATACTAACCCAGTTTTAATTGGTTCTTCATATTGTATTCCTTTGGCTAATTCTGCTACTCCCATCAATGCTAATTGAAAAGAAAAACATTTTTTATTAGTTATTAAAATTAAGAAAATAATTTTATTTTTTAACTCAATACTCAAGTAAAAAATCATTGAAAATATGAAATTAATTGAAATTTTTTCATATTATGTTATAAAAACTAGTAATATTTCAAATATAAGACAAATTCCTTTAATCAAATTTTGAAAACATAAAACTAGAAAGTATGAGAAGACAACACACTCATAACTGGAAAACTGTTTTTTTCGCCTTTAATATGGTTTAAAATTTTAATTGTCAAAAACTTTAAATTTACCTTTTTTTTAATTAAAATTATAGTATTACATATTTCTAAGAGATTGAATCAGAATTTAATATTGCTGTAATTTAATATTAACAATTGGATTACAACTTCTAGATCAAATTAACTTATTTAACAATGGTCTGGAAATGTTTTCTCAAAGATTAGCAACACCTATCTTTTTTGTTCTTGATGTTTAAGTAAAAAATAATCTGTTGTAAATAAAATACAGTCAAACTTCCATATTATTGATACAAACTTCTATATAGCAAATTTCTTTGTAAAACGAATTTTTGCATTGTACACTGCTCTTACAGCCAAAAATATATGTAAAATTGACTCTAAATAACAAAGTTAAATTTCTACATAATGAATTTTTTTTTAATTTGAAAGGACTATCAATCATTAAAAGTTGATTACTCCATCTTGGTTGAATTTGAATTTAGGTTCAATTTCAGATATCAACTTGTACACCTTTGTAAAACCATGGCCCAGGTGTGAGAAATATTGATCATTAACTTTTAAAACCATCATGTAATCTGCCCCATGTGGCTACCAGTTGTAAAGAAAGCAGAGAGAGATTATTTTCAACAAGAGCATTTGGATCTAAACAATTTACAATTAACAAATGTTTTAGGGTTACAGTATTTCTTAGTAATACTGTAACTTATAGTTAACATGTTTTTATTTTTAAAAAATTACTGTACTGTATAAGTTTCTTGTTATCTTAAATGCATCCCCATTCATTTCATAATACAGTACAGTACAATGGATTAATTTTGTACAGATTTTGTTTATGCTGCTTCCTTTGGGAATGCATCCTTGTAGTAAAATCAGGACAGCCTGTAAAATGAAAATTGATATTGGTAATGTTTTTTTATTGTGTACAGTATAGTATTTAACTGAGAAAGCAGTCTTACTTGTGCAGGTGGCTGAGATGAGTCATACCTACATTGTTTTATAGTACTGAATGCTATGCAAAATTCAAAGAAACTTTCCTAAATTTGTCTATCAGAGTTCTCAGAAACATTCAACTTGACAAGTTGCATTTCACTTTCTATTTTAACTTCAGGTTTGAGAGTGGACAGTTCTATACTATAGTACAAAAAATGTCTACGTGTTCAAGTATTATTACTAAAAAACTTAATGTGTTGTAGAAAGTTGATAAAAGCTCAAAAAAGACATTGCAGCAAAGTTTGGAATTTCTGTGAGTAGTTTATCAACCATAATAAAAAAATTGCAAATCAGTTTTGAAATTAGCTGATGATAAAGATCTACAGCAAAATGTGCTAGAATCTGTGTTTACATTGATGTAGATGAAGTATTTTTAATGCTCTTAGTAAGTGTGAAGCTTATTACAAAGAGAGAACATTTTTAATTGTTCTGTTCTGTAACAAAAAATTAAAATTTTTTTTAACGAAAATGTAGTTAAATTAATTAACTTGTAAGTATTTTAACACACAAATATAAACTTACTTAAAATTAAAATTACATTTATATTACATTATTACTGTATCTTACATTTATACTAATTTAAATTATGTAAAATAATAATAAAATTACATTAAAATAATACTTTATTTACCAAAAAGTGCAATTTCTATATAAAAAAATTTCCCAATAACAAAATTTTTTTCAAGATTTAGCAACTTTGTAATATAGAAGTTTGACTGCACAAGGAAGAAAATAACAACTTAAATATTTTTTTGAAAAATAATAATCTATTAATTTGAAATTATAATTGCCATTATCATTAAATATAAAAAGAATTTAACATCATTACTTTCAAAAATTGCATTTTAAAATAAATATCTTATATATATATATATATATATAT